TCCAGCTATCCAGCAGTAGCACTATCAGAGGATACCACTACTAATGATGCAGCCCTGACTCTAGGGCTGGAAAATATAACAAAAGTTTTCTCAGCTGCTCAAACCCGCAGAGAGGTTTTCTCTGCATAGCTAATCGCTATGTGTGATGATTACTAGAAAAAGAACCTTTATTTTAACACCAGTCGAAACAAGTTCAAGGGGTGCGGGAACGCATTCCTAGTAGAGGCAAGACCAAATACTGATAAAACATCCTCTCTCCTTAGCTCATGAAATTCCAGACCAGGAGGCAACTCTGCACTGGACAGTGCTTAAACAGGCAATGAGAAGAGCAGGATCCTGCTATTGTAGCTGGCCAATGACCCTTTTTATGGAAGATATTCCTCGCCAGAGCTGCAGAAAAGATCACGAGCAATGCTTTCCCCTTAGCCTTGCATGGGATACTATGTTATTTGTGACCCTGCACATGACTTTCTTCTTGCTAAAACTGGTGCAAGCTGGTCCAGTGATGCTAAAAACATACGCCTGCTATATAATGACTGGAGTGCAGTCGTAGGGCAAACCCTTCTGCATTTGCTTTATAATAGTGAAGTACCACTGCACAACCCGTAAGTCCTGTGACAGCAACATTTACTCAGCTTACATGGAAGTGTCACGCGTGGATTGCTGGCACTGAAAGCTACTGCTAAGTAGTGAGGATAACAGAGTGAGGAGAAGCCTATAGCAAGCAGATCCTCAGTTGGTGCAAACCACAAATCACCATTAAGTTTATACAGGATATTTCTAAGACCTTTAAGGGGGAAAAAAATAGTATGAGAAGGGAGAATGCAGTTACAGTGCCCTGTGTTTATGTCCCCACAGCTGCTGCAGGCAAGTGATTCTTCATGGCAGTGCTGTATGTTATAAGTTTGCTTTTCCTTTTGCCTGTATTAACTCTTTACTGTTAAGTCCAGCTAAAGGGCTGGAGGCAAAAGTTAAAAATGGACCCACTGAATATGGTACCATGGAGACTCTTTTACCTTTATACTACTCATATATGCTTTGCTTTCTCCATTCTGCCCCGTGATGCTCTGTACAATCTGAACTTATCGTTGGCCAACTAACTTAACAGCATTTTCTATCTAGCATCCTGCTCAGCTCTCCTGCTGGCTGCCATCACCTGACGTGGGTGAGCCTCAGGAGTGGATGGCAGTGAAAAACAGTGGCGGAGAAGAGCAGGTCTGGGAGGTAGCCTGGAAGGTAGAGGGGAAATGCAAAAATTGCAACAAGCTGCCTGAAAATCTCATTGTGGTTTTTTTTTAAAGTACTCACACATGCACACATGCACACGCACAACAGTATTTCACAGTGTCAGTGTTACCAAAGACTTTTCCCCTTGTTACTTTTTCTCCTCATGAAGTTAAATTTTGCCATTAGACTCATATTTCACAGCAGTACATCCGATATCCATGAAATAAAAATGTTAAAGTCACTTCAGTGACTCTGCCCTCCACTGGAGCATGCTCCAGAAGCATTTACAGTCAGAGTACTTTACAGGAACTTTGTTCCTCTTCTCCCAGGAGAACTGGAGGGATGCAGAAAATTGAAGTGCTTTATGGATCATTTCTATTTTAAGTCCAGTTCTCCATTAGTCCTATACAGTCAAAATACAGACAGATGTCACAGTGGTGCCTGGTATAAACAGATGGGAACGTGTTACTCTCAGTAATGACACCATGTGATTTTTGGTCAGAGGAAGAAACAAGGATGTGCTTTCTCTGTCCTGCAGACAGCTGCCACGGACTTGGTGCAGGGTGGTGCTGAGCTCTGTATGGTCCCATCCTTCACAGTGGATTGGGTCTGGTAGGTAGGTGTGTATAATGCTAGCCAGTGAGGAGAATCAGTGCATTACGACAAAGTGTCTCCAAATGAAGAAGACCTGAAGAGCCCTTCCAAGCCCTGTGTGCTGGTGACTGGCTCTGAAGGGACACTGCCCGGACCTTGCTCCTCCTTGGTGTATGCAAGCATGTAATGGATGGCAGAGAACAGTCAAGAATTGTCTGGGAAAGACAACCAGAGGGCATCATGTGCTCCTTCCACATGGCTGCCCCACAGGTATTTGCTGGTGAGTTTTCCAAACGGACAGCTCTCCTTGTACTGCAAAGCTTCCCTTGTACTTTAAGTAGCTAGTTGGTTGCAGTTAGACAACTTGGCACAGCACCATGCTTCCCTCACCCTGGCCTGCCACCAAACAGCTTCAGATATGCCTTTGGGAGAGACTGACAACTGTTCCTCGTTAAAACACAGCAGCTACAATGTGAGACAGAGACGCACCACATGAGCAGTTCTTACCACTGCTTTGTGTTTCTTTGGGACAGAGAGTGCATGGGGAAGCCTCTTGTGTCTCAGCACGCCCTCTGCAAGCTCTTTGTGTGGCTTAGTTGACACTGTGAATTTTCACATGCTGCTCTTCAAAATTAAGTCCATTCCCTGATCAAGAGCAGTACTTTTTAAATGCAAGGACATCAAAAGCATGCTTTAGCTAGACACATAGGCTGGATGTAGAATAGGCAGCTGATATGTCCAGGCTTCACCTGCAAACAACATGCTTATAGTCCACTCACCCCTAATTGTCTCTAGACCAAATTCTGTCCAGAATGAGATCTAAGGCAAAGGCATTGATTTCAGAGGACATGCAATGAAGTCACGGAGGACAGACTACGCTCCAGAATCCACAGCCCAAACCTGCTGCAGATGTTTACGTGACTACAGATGTACTTTGGGGCCATGCAAGAGCAGGGAACTACTGTATACAAAAGAAAATGCAGTTCAGCTCTAGAAATTTCAGTAGCTGGACAGAAAATGCCTTCATTTAAAGCTCCTTCTGCTGAAGCTGTGCATCAAAG